GAGCCAGAAACGGCTCTCAGGCACAAATTGAAGCCGCGCTCGCTTTTTAATTAAAATTAATAATGCAAGAATCCACAAGGAATACTCTCATTGAGATATTCAAAGACTCCCGCACTCAACAGAGGCGATGGCAGCTGCTTCGCTTGTCAAATGTTTTATGTATCAGTTATTCGCATTCAATAAGCATTTTGGCCACTCACACACACACATACTAAGGCAATTATGACACACACTCGTTGCCAGGAAAATGTCGCAGCGGAGAAAGGGGCAACAGCGGCGAAAGTAAATGAGAAAAATGAGACAAGATTTAGTCTAATTAGACCAGAAGGAATCTGTTTTTGCTCCAGGACACAACAACATAATTTACCCTTTATTTTCAAGAGTCATTAATTATGCTGCATGAATTGGCATAAGCGGATAAGAAGTATTCCAATAAATTGGCTGCTCGAGGCAACTACAACTTATGCATAAATAAAAACCCAGCTTCCGCTTCTGCCCCTGCAGCCGATAAGCCTATATTAATTGAGCTGCCATTGGGCGGAGTACTCGACTGGCAACTGCCACGTGAAATGAAAGGCAAATTATAAAAAAAAAAATACAAAATTGAATGCTTGAAAATATGCAAAAATAATGATGGCAAAATGTGCATTATTTCATATTTGAATATAAAATGCACACATTCAATTGAAATTTGACAGAACTGCGGCTGAAATTGGCAATCAGATGGGCTAATGATCATTTGATAAGCCTGGCCAAAAAACATCAATCAAGAGCAGAACAAAAAAAAACAAAAAAAATCACAAATTTGTCAATATGCGCAAATAAATTGGTGTTTTAGCCAAATCCTCTTACCTTTCTGCCTGTGTCTGCCAAAGTTAGTTAAGCGTATTACCTATGAGCCGAAATTCGAAATGAGGGATGGCTTCGACAGCTAATTAGCCAAACACATTCATTACCAATAAATTGGTCACATGCTCTGCATAATAAAGCCATACACAAATATTTGGCTGGGACTTGACTTTGGCATATATTGGCTAACTGGCAAAATACAAGCAGCCGACTGGCAACACAATTTAATAGAGATTACCATAATAATTTGACATAATGAACTGTTCCCGAACAGGACATGCATGTCCTGCAGCAGCAGCTGTTTGCCCTGCGCTACCTGCTAGTTGGCCAACAGCGAAATGATCATTTTTTTGGTTCCATTCCAACGCATTCGGTTTTTGTTCTTTACGAGACTTCCGCACTTTTAATAATAAGACGCACGCAGTGCTTTTGTTGAACATATTAAAAAGCATCCCGCTGAGTGCCCCTACTGACCTCTGGCATGGTGGCGCCTCTGACGCCATTGTCTCCCCAGCAAACTTATTACGGAGAAAAGCCACAAAAAATAAAAACAGCATTTTTAAATCTCAATGACAAATGAAAAATGCTCGAAATAAGTGAGATACACACTACAATATCATGTTTAATATAGTCGTACACTCAGAAAAAAACACTCGCATTGCGACTTGGAAATTCACTCAAAAAACAAGAACAAATTTTGAGTTTTTACAAATAATTTCTATTAGAAAAGCTTTTTTATATTTTCAAGTAAGTTATTTCTTAATAATAGATAACATTTCCAGCCTGAGTTATTTATTATTAAGTTTTAACTAGCAAAAAGAAAACACAAAACAAAACCACAAAAACATTTAAAAGTTTTATTTTATATTTCCCAAAAATATATTTCTGAATAAAATCAACTATTTCTGTAGAAAATAAATGCAAACCCAAAATGTTTTGAATTACAAAAAATACTAAAGAAGTTTTCTAACTATCTTTAAGATACAAATGTTTAATATTTACAAACACAGCTTGGAAATTAGACGCATTTTTTTCGCAAACTTTAGCAAAATCAGCTGTGAAACTAAGAAAACAAAAACTTTCTGAATAAATAGGCTGAGTTACCCATTTCGCTAAAAGTATGATGATTTTCAGGAATTTCAGAATGATTTTTTTCGGAATGTGGAATTTTACTGCTTCTCACTTCGAAGGACCTTTTTCATTTCACTCATTCAGAAAATGTTCATTTCGATTTAGATTTGCTGACTTGGCGTTGATGCTGCCACAACTTCTACTTCATCATCATAAATAGAATTTGTTACACACACTCACACACACACACACACACACACACACACACACACACACACACACACACACACACACACACACACACACACACACACACGCACTTGTGGCTAAGCATACAAGTCAGTCACTCGGCCCAAAAACTATTTTGGCATAAATTCCAAGGCTCATTCCTGACTTGTCTTTGACAGCCACAACTCGAAAGAGAAATTTGAATTGCCTATCCTTCCGGCTGGTTTTTGTTGCCAAGATTTATGTTTCCGGTCGTTATACAAATATAACTCTTCATTCGTTTTGGCTGTATTCAATATGCCAAACAATGTGGCATGGTGATAAGCCATATGTTTAAGCCAGTTAAGTGCATAGTTCAAAGGACATCATTTCAAATGCTTGTCATCATTATCCAAAATTATCATAAACTTTGAAATGTGTTTTGGGGGCGCGTTTTATCACCATAATTTAATTAAGCACTTTTCCACACCACAGCATGAATGTGATCAAATGAGCAGAGCCAAAAGCTTGTCACTCGCAGTAATTGTTTTTTTTTTTTACTTTTATATTTCGTTTTTCTTATTTCTTATTTCTTATCTTTTATTTTTTTTTTTATTTTTTGTGCAGCCATTTGTCGCCAATTATTCAAAATGTTCAAAGACATCGTTTGAAACAAATTAAGGAAACCCAAAATGGTAGAGAGAAAAAACCAACAGCAGCTGTTAAGATTTAATCAAACTTAGTTTGAAGACAGCTCAACCACAAACGCATTAATTGTTAAATCTGCGGTCCTGCGGAGGTCCTTGAAGCATTAAGCACTGCTTAAATACCATTGTGGGCGAGCTGGGCATAAATCCCATTTGGATTTCTATATGCTTATGTGTGCTTAGTTGACCTTTTCTAACTGTCACTGATGCATTTAGTATGCCTAAACAAAAGCCCATAATTCGCCTGGAGTACTTTTCATAAATCAACGGCTAGATATATATATTATGGCCAAGTTGAGCGAGGCCAAAAACCGTCTAACAAACACAATACAAAATGGACAATAGACTTGGTGTTATTTACCTGGCAGCCAACACGTCGTATGAGCAATATAAGTATTATTATATATATATATATTAATGTGTGTGTGTGTGTGAGGTATTTAATAAGCCTGGCACTGTTATTGTCATACTCACAAATTGTTGTTGCTATTTTATTTTTATCTAGCCACGTTTGCTGATTGGAATTTGGTTGCTAAAAGAGCCAATTTGGTTGCTGCTCTTCGTTCCTCATTTCGATGTTGTTGCTCTTCTTCTATGTTTGTGTTTGTGTTTCGTGTTCGTGTTCGTGTTGTGCGCAATTTGTATTTGTTTATATTCTAGCACCAGCACACGTATATAAACAATATTGTTTACGGCCAACGAGGCAATTAAGTATTGACTTTGGCGCTTAATTTACAGCCAGAGCCAAGGTTCCCAAGATTGGAGGTGCTGGTTGGTTAAATGGAGTTTTATCATTTATCAATCCTCACATCGAGTGCTGCCATTTTAAAGGGTATATATTCAATTACAGACCGAATGCCATCCACAATTATCAATGGCAATTAAACACTTAAATATAAACACATTGTGCAAACAAAGAAAACAAATGGGAAACAATTTCATTTCTGTGCAAATTATCAATGTGAAATGAGATCATGCAAATTGAAATTCTTTAATGACTTCATATCGAACAGCTTCAATTAAGTTTCGATACTAAATCCATATTGATATATGTCAATTCTCAAATTACAAAAGCCATTTGACTGCACCGAGAACAACAAGTAAACATTTCTCTAGTGGAGAGTGCTCAACTTGGAGATACCCTGAAACCATCCCTTAAGACAAGTTTAAGTTTTATGGTCAATATTCTCTTTAAAGACCTCTTCTTCTGCTGGAAGAATCAAAGAAATTACGAAGGCAGCATTAATGAGATCAATATACGAATTGGGCTTTAACTTGGTTAATTTTTATTCGATATTGATCAAATTTTTTGCAGTTGATCAGAAATATGTCAAGGTATAATATGTATCAAAAACAAGCTTCTGCTTTTAAAAATTGTGGCTTTTATTGCTATCGAAAATCGATTTATATCGATAAATGCGTAAAATTCAAAACTGGATCCACGAGAATTTAAATACAACATTTAGTGTCACTAACTCTTAAAGTCTCTAAGATTCAACAGACACTCAGATGAATATGGCTAGATCAACTCGGCCGTTGATGCTGATCAAGAATATATATGTACTATAATGCCTTGATCTGGTTATTGCACACTTTTTGCAGAGCTTCATTATATTTGAATATATAAAAACAAATGAATTTCAGTTGATAATTTCATGTCACTTTTTAAAATCGATTTTCAGCTAAGTTTTAATTAAAATAAAAAATATCAATTTCGACATTTTTTTGAAATTTGACTTGAAATTTATTGTAAATATTTAATTTCAAATATGTATGCAATTGCAGGACATTATTCAGGTATTTTGAAATATTAAAGATTGACCTGAAGACTACTTTTTTTATATTTGTTTTGTGTAATTAAATTGATATTTTTCAAACATTCAAAACATTAAACTAAAACTGATCCATTTCCAAAAAACATTGCATAGTAATAACATTTGACAATATCAAACATTTTAACTAACCTATAAAAAAATGATTAAACTGAGCTAAACGTATTTTTAATGGCATTTCATTTATATGCAAATTCAACTCAGTTTTTGTTAGTTTTTATTATTTATTTATTTTTTTGCGAGTGCAACACAAAAGTGAAAACATAAATTATAATTGCAACACTAAAATATTTGTCATTTGTTTAAATTATGTTCACTTGAAATTCTTTTATACTTTGTATTTGATAATATCACTTTTTGCCACACAATGTTGCTTAAATAGATGTGAAGGTTCTTAAGAGATCCGCATTTAATTGGAACTGCTCCTTTCGCGCGCGCTGTTATCGCCCGACTGTGAAGCACTTTTCGAATGCGGCAAGCATTTGGCGCCAAACTTGCTGCTGGAATTTTCCCCTACTTCCAGTGCGAAAGCATTTCGAAACTGGAACGCTGGAGTGTAAAGCCGGCTAAAGCCGGCGCCTGCGTGTTGTGCCACAGACGTAAACAAAAAACAGCTGTGCCGCATTCATTGATGGCTACCCACTGACTGTGGAATGAATCCGCATTCGAATTTGTAGTACTCAAAAAAATGCAATCAATCAAAGAGTGGAACAGCCCCAAAGTATGCCATACAATTAACTGTCTTCTGAATCAGATTGGTTAATGAGTGAAATGAGCCACGCCTTTTGCATGTCAAAGAGCGCCCGCCCACAGTTGCAAAGACATCAAGACACTTATGAATCTGCCACACACACGAACATGTGGCAAGATTTTTTTCGTTATCATAGCAAGATTTATATTAATATAAGAATTGAATAAGTCTTATTCTTCAGAAATCTTTTCTGCTTAGCCCAAAAGTATGCAATAAATATTATTGAATATAAAATAAAATATAATATAAAATATAGGCAATATTATGAAGACTACAATTTCTTACAGAATTATAAATAAGTGAATTGTGGCCTTAACAATAAATTGCTAATTGAATAAGAATTGACTGATTGATTTTAAAACGTGTAATTTTTTTAGTGGCAAATCGCAAAACAGAATCAAATACTAAGGAAATACTAAGCAGAATAAAGAGTGTGCTCTCTTAAATATGCTCTTAACTGCAACTCACTCAAAGAGCTAGGCACGACAAATACAAATCATGCCACAAAAGAAAACGTAAACAAAAAGCAAAACGATTGAATGCAAAAACACATTGAAATTGAAATTGAATGCAAACACAATTGAAAACGACTGATCCAAAGAGAGAGAGCGAGGGAGAGAGCAAAAGCAAAACCAAAAGCAAAATCAAGAGCGAATGCAGGCAAGCAGAAGAGAGTGAGCTCAATATTTGTTTTGCGTGCTCAATACGAGTTCTCGCACACACACACACAGTCAGAGTGTGTTTGTGTGCGTGTGTTTCGTTCATTCGGCTCGTGCCGTAGTCGACAAATAAACTGTTTACAGCGCTCATTTTGGCTTAACATTGCCTCTTGTTTGTTGGTGAACGCCGAAGTCGACGCACGCCTCTCGTTTTCGCGCGCTTCGCACACATTTCGTAGAGCAGCAGCGAATATATTTCAGTTATATTAATAGAATTCACATATACACACACACGCAAACAAACACACACACACACATACAAATGCCATATTGAAAGTGTTCCACACACAGGAAAATTGATAACAAATAAATATATATGTGTATACATACATATATCAAAATATACAAATATATATATATTAAGTAGTTGAAAGAAAATGAAAAGAAAATAAAAGAAAAAAGATCAAAAAATCTGCTTGTGCAAATCGGTGAGTTGATTAAAAGCTGAATATTGTGTCTTGTGCGTGTGTTGCGTATACGCAACGTGTTTTTTATGCAAATCCAACAACAATAACAACAACAGCAACGAAAAACGAAAAACAAACCAAAAGCAAAAATAAATAAAACGCAATTCAATTGTTTTGTTTGTTTTATTTTATCATACGTCATGCTTTGCGCTTCAATTTGTCTCCGTCGCACGCGCGCCGCGTAACGGTTTAAACGCGGCCTACGACAATAAGCAAAGCAAACAAACAAAAACAATAACAAGAAGCAACAGAAGAAGAAGAGAGGAGTAAATTCCCACGTGGAATGTGGTTAAAATTAGGCAGAGTTTAATCAACAAAAGGCGCAAATAGCATATCAAAAGCAACAACGACCAAAACAAAAACAAAAAACAAATAACGCAATTTTCGAGTATTTTACACGCAACGAACAAGAAAACTTATATGGATATACATACAACAACAACAATAATCAACAAATACACTTGGAATATTAATACATTGAAATCGAAATGAAATAAATGAAAATGTTGCCATTGTATGCAAATTTTGGGCAGCCAAAAGTCATTTTGAGCCAAACACACGTCATCGTTGCCCAATCAAAATAGGACAAACAAACACACACACGACACACACACACTGAGCGAACAAATAGTTCAGAATATCTACATATATATATATATATAGATATGTATGTGTATGTGTACGTGTGCATACACTAATACATATATATATATATATATTTAGAGAGAGAGAGAGAGAGAAACGGAACCAGGCCACAAGCGAATCGAGTCCCGTTGCGCTGAGCAACTTGACGGCGCTGTGGAGCAAGGATAACAAGAGTAAAGAACGCATTGTGCATTGCACATCAAGGACACATTTACAGTTAACGCGATTCACACACACTCACACACACACACACACTGAGCAAACAAGGCGCAGTGGGCGTGGCTCCATTCGCTGGACAGCATTTAGAGAATCAACATCAATCAAGTCCGAGTCCGAGCAAAGCACAGCACAACTGGGCCCCATGTAGTTGACTCCTCTCATCTGCATAGTGGGTAGCAGGATTAGCCTATCAGGCAGCAAAAACAAAATACTCATCGGACTCATCATCCCATCCCAACCCATCCCAGCAGCAGCGGCAGGCAACAACCAACAGCTGCAGCATGGCGCGACGCAAGGGCAGCGGACGTGGCAGTAAGTAGAAACTTTTATTGGCCTGGTTAAGCTCGAATTTAGCATTTAAGCCACTGTGCAGTGAAGCACTGGAAAAACTGTACAAATTGAACGAGGCAGTCCTTTACAGGCTCTAGTCTGAGTACACTCAGCAAAAATATAGCCCTGAATCCTTATTCATTATTATTCAGAAAGTATATATAAAAAAACTGCGTTTTTCTTCTCTTCATTTCAATATCAAGTTTGATCAAATTTAAAAAAATAGTTATAATTTTAAGTCAGTTTTCTTATAAATGTACCCAGAGAAAGCCTCCATTTTAAGATTAAATTCATAATATTTGAATTGGAAAAAAAACATAATATTTTAGGTCTATTCGAATCCCAATCTATCCCAAGATACGCAATTTTTGATTACTATTTTCTGAACTTCAGAACAGATTATTTCTAAGAAACAGATCCTTATTTAGAAAATTAAAATGAAAAATTTGCATACATTTTACAAATATTTTCTTAATTACGAAATATATTTCTTGTGAAAAATAAAAAAAAAATCACATTTCCTATATAAATAAAGTCGATCTGATTATCAGATTGAATTTATGCTGAGTGTATGCCCTTTTCCTAATTACAAGCTGTAAAACATATTGAGTTAAAAACAACCCAGACTCAACACAGATTACGCACTCTCCAATTGCACACAATCGGGGCCTAGGCGCTATAATGTTATACAATAAAATAAATAATATATACTATATCCTTTATGGGGACGGAAATGAGTGCTTAAATGTGTTACACACTTCACGACAAAATTATAATACCCTCATCCCATTTGATGTGCCTGTTGACATGCGTTAACTTCAAAACTTGATACTTGAGCTCAAGGCCACTTTTGTATACAATGTGTGTGTGTATATAAATATAAATATATACATATATGTGTGTGTGTGAGTGAGTGTGCACATACATAGCTAAATAAATAGGAATTCGTTAGGCCACTCAAACTTGACTTGTCTTGACTTGACTTGACTATAAAATACCCAGCATTATCTCACTATATGAAAACTTCAAAGATACTTTGTAGCTGGAAGTTATTTAATTTTATTCAGTTATAGAAGATAGATTTAATTTGTGAAAATATTACTATATTAAAAAAAAGGAAACTTACATAAAACAATCATAAGATTTCAATTTGTTTCTCAATTCAAGGAAACTTTCTCGTTTACGAGTATTCACTGTAGCTCTTACAATATTCGGGCACGTGCAGCATGCCTCACTTCTGTATTTACAGGGTATTTGCAAGGACAATGGCAGAAAGAAAAGTTCACAAAAAGCAATAAATGGTGGGAGAAAAGAAAATAGCAACACAAAAGAGAAGAAAAGACACTAGGAAATTGCGAGTAAGAGAGAGACAGAGAGAGAGAGAGAGACAGACAGAGAAAGAATGCGAATCAGCCATTTTCAATTACAGCAAAAACATTAGTTTTTGTGGGGGGGGGGCGTGGCAGGTCGTGTGGTGCGCTCTTAAAGCTCGTACAAGCAATAACTGTAAGTCACAACCTCAATATGAGACACTGAGAAACACCCCGCCACCCCCTCAACCCAGCTCTCGCTTGGGGCAACAGGAAAAGTTGTACGACAAACTGAAATATTGCAAGCAAGAAAATGCAAAAAAAAAAAATCAACAAAAAGAAAAGGAAAAAAAACAAAATAGAATTGTGCAAACTATGAAAAAAAAATATTAAAAAATAAAAAGCAGCGGGGGGTCGCTTACTGTTGTGTGGGCGTAGCCAAAGATAAGAGGCAGTTTGAGTGTGGGAGGGGGGGAGGTATATACTTGCAACTCAACGAAGCGCGCACTTGTTACACTGTACAGTGCGCCCTCACGCAGTGCGACGAGTAACTGAAAGATGGATTTGCGTTTTCTTTTTGAAAACGACAGAGAGAGAAGAGGTTGGTTGCTGCGTACAGGGGTTTAAGAGAGGTGGTATATGGTAAGGGAGGGGGAGGGGGGAGTGCAAACAGTTCATGCATAAAACATGCAACTGACTCTGACGCAGTTCAGCTTCGCTACTTTTTATCATTTGCTTTTTTTTTCCGCCTGCTGCTGACGTTGCTGCTGCTGTCGACAGCGCTGCAAATGTTGGGGATTCCCTTACGTAATCCCCAAGCGCAAAAGGCAAACAAACACACACACACACACACAAACACACACACACACACACACACAAAGAAATACAGCCAATGCTGTTGCAGCTGCGAAGCGCTTGTTAAAAGAGAAACGACAAACAAAAACAAAAACAAAAACGAAACCCAAAAAGAAAACACAGAGATTACATATATATATACGTATATATGTATATATATATATATATATAAGTATGTATGTGTCTATATGTAAATATGAAAAGCTGTTTGAGCACAGAAGACTGGGCACCCATGTAATGTAATGGCCTGAAAATCAGGCTTCGCACAGCGTCATGAACTTTTGGCGCTCACCCACTCACACACACACAGACACACACACACAGAGGCACACACACACAGAGACACACACACACACAGACACACTCACCCACACACATACACAGAGGCAAACGTGTTGTCAGATACAAAGATACAAACACAAGCGTTCAACTTTTATGTAGATATACTCAAACGAACGTGCAGCCCACAATGCGCAGATACTTTTGGCGTCACTTGAGGCACCAACAACAACAACAACAACAGCAACTGCTTTGCGGTGGGGTGAGGGGGAGGTGTAAGGGGGAGCAGCAGGTATGTTAGACAGACAACACTCGAGCTGAATGTTGCTGCTGCTTGTTACTCATACAGTTTGAACTTATTAACAAGAATTGGAATAGCATTTTGCCACCATTCGAATATGGAATGCTCTTAAAGTAAAATCAAATTGAATACAATCTAACGATAAATATCGATAAATATCGATAAATATCGAGCATTGCATTAAATAAATTATCATCATAATTGCCGCTTGAGTTAGACTAAAATTCATGAAAATATTACTTTTTTAAATACAAACTTATCACTTACTAATTGTCTGTTAAAGTTCCAATTATTTATTGATAATTTTGGATTTATTTCAAACTTGATAATGCAAATAACAAATAATATTAAGAATAGCATAATAATAATAAAAGCAAATTGGCAAAACATTTCGATTTCTATATGGAATGCGTAAGTGGTGCTATTATTCTTCGCTAATCTAAAAGAAAACATATATATATATTTATATATATATATTGATAAGCACTTCACGAGCAGTACTACCTTTGACGTATATGGGGAATACTAAAGATTATATTATTATTATGATTATTATTGACAATTCTTTTTTCTAGCCACTCTATAAACATTTCTTTTATATATATATTAAATACTATCTATCCAACATGTATGTATAAATATAATATATAGTTGCTAAAATATTCTGATTAATACTGTAGCTGATATGACCTTTTTCTGTTCTGTTGCTTGTGGCATGGGGCGGTGGCAGCATTCTTATGCCTCACTGCCCACGCGCCACACTCTGCCCCAACACGGCCAGTCAGAGTAACGAGGGACGGATACAAGTTTTCTATCTGTATCTGTCTGTGGCGCTGTATTTGTATCTAGATACTTGGCCAAGCAGCTGGCGCAACATGTTCAAAGCAACTGCGACACTTGAGCTGCCTTTGGCTCTGACTCTGACTCTGTCTCTGGTTTTGGGTTTTGGCTTTGCTTATGATTATGTTATAATCTCTGCTTTTTGCTGTTGCTGCTGCTGTTGCTGTTGTTGCTGGCAACTCTGTTGCTGTGCTTGTTGCCATTGTTGTTGTCGCATTTGTTTTGGCCAACGTTCTGGGTCACAAACTACGTCAAAATTAAAATAGACTTTGGCCCGGGACTCTGTTGTTGTTGTTGTTGTTGTTGCTGCTGCTGTTGATTGTTGTTTGTTGTTGTTGCTGTTGCTGTTGTTATTCACGTGGCAGTTGCCACTGTTGATATCCCCCCCGCACCCCACTTTGCTGTTGTCATTTAGCATTCCTTCTGTGCCCTTCTGCTGCCCCTTTCTCCCTTTCTCTGCCACCACTGTGTGTCATTGTTCTTGTCTCTCTGTCTTTTGCCACTTTGCCTTTGCCTTTGCCTTTGCCTTTGCCTTGACTGTTGCCCATTGTGCTGATAATTTATGTTTTGCTCGGCAAACGACCGAAGAAGAAGTCTAGCTGCAAAACGGGCAGGCGGCATCAGGCCATCGGGCGAGGGGGGAATGGAGACTTTGCTCGACTCTGGGGCGTCTGTCCGCCTCATTCGCAATTCCTTAGTACAAGCTCTTTGTTTTTATTACAGTTTTGTGTTGCTTGTTGTTGTTGCTGTTGCTGTTGTTGCTGTTGTTGCTGTTGCTTGTGTTGCTTGTGTTGCTATTGCTACCTTTTCTAGCACATTTGCTGGCTCTTTGTTTTGCGTTTCCTTTGGCTCGCATTCCGCTTCAAATAAAAGGGCTTTTAGTTTCGTTCACTTTATACATAGTTTAACCACCCAACACCCACACCCCACCCCCCTCCCTCCACCCGCACCTTTTAGGGTTGGTTTTGGCTTCCTTAACCCATCAAAAGCCAATACCCTTTAAAACCAATAACAATGGAGTTTTTATGTTTAGTTTGTTCTTTAAAACAAATATGAATTAATACAAAAAAATATATGTGAATAAATATATATAAAAAAATGCATTAAGCATATGAAAAAATAAAATAATTAAAATAAATTAAAGATATTTAAATATAAATAAATAAATAAAATACTTGGAATAGAAATGACACCTTTTTAACTATATTTAAAATCAGCTATTGTGCTTAATTTTGTTTAAATATATCACTGACACTTAAAAGAAAAAGTCTTAAAATATGCAAATCAAATATTCCAAATTGTTTCTACATTTTCTCAAATTACACACCTGACATGCTAAAGAAAAAAACAAGGCAACATTTTGATAACCATTAGTCGTTATGACTACTTTGCCAACT